CAGAGACCTGTGCCCCCAACTATTTTTTGGATGATAAATATTTGTATCACATCAAGTAAACTTGGGCATAGTAACAATATTTTTAATACTACATTTATCCATTTTAAACACACTAACCTGACTCATTTGCAACAAATAAGGTAAAAATGTAATTAATTCAGAAAATCTTTTCAGGACCCCACCTTGATGTTTCGGGACCCCACTTTGGGTCCGGACCCCAACTTTGGGAAACACTGCTCTAAACCATGTCTAAAATTTGATGTAAAAACTAAATGTTAGACTATCACCTGCTGCAGTAACAAGTGGGYGATCATGGAACTGCCTGCATGTTTGTGTTTGTCTGTTAGCAAAATATTTCATGAACCACTGACCTTAATGAAAGTGTTAGAAAATGATCYCTGGATGAACATCAACTTTAACATTTGGAGTCAGCSTGATTCAAGATGRCTGCCACAGCTAATTTAGCTTAAACATCCATACTCAAGGAGGTCATAACAGCTGGAGCTCAGAAACCACGTGACCATGTGATCGGCTGGAGAAGCTAACGGCTAACGCTAAACAGTCAAGTCTGGATTTCCCATTACTGTACATGTTGGTGACAGAGCAGAAAAAAAGGACTGACGATGTAGAAATCATAAAAACCATTAATAATAATATTAACATAATTATTATAAATACTATTGTACAGTTTATATAATCGATTTATTGTTTGAAATAATGCCAGAAAAGCTGTTTGGGTTATAGATTTATTAACAGAAGATAAACAGGAAAACGTCTCATTTTACAACACAAGTCAGCAGATTTGATCTTATTTAGCTCAATGTGATCTGAGCAGAACATAATGTAACAGTTTAAAATTTCATTTTATTTGATTTTATTTTGGTTGCATGTTTTTTTGTTCTTTGTTATTTCGTGTTACAAATGAAATGAATAAATTTCTTGGAAAAAATTAAAATAATCTTACAAAGTCGATGTCATCACTGTTATTTGTTGCACTGCAGATATTAGTTTGTGGAGCATATACTGTATACAGAGTGTAGCTCTGTTGAATCATGTTACAATAAAACACAAACTATTAAATATTACAGCTGATTTGTCTCTGATTAATATTTAGACCTACACAGTGTAAAATAATATAACTGTAAGTATTTTTAGGTTTCTGTTAGAGGAACCTGACATGCTGAGAAGATGGTTAGTTTATAGAGACAAGTTTCATCCTATAACCAGAGAACATTTTCTAACTGTTGACTGGTAAATATTGATTATTATTATTNAGTGTATATATATATCGTATCATCGTATTTGTTGTTCTCATTTCCTCAGAAAGACAGTGGAAAGCTAAAATTGTTTTACAAAGTAGCTAAAATAAGCTAAACAGTACGTAAAACAAAAGACAGTTGCTAAAAGTTAAAGATAGCAAAACTATACCTTCAAGATAAAAACAGCAAAATGTAGCAAAAAGTTAGAATTAACAAAACGGTTGAGAACATTAATGAAACAAAACCCAACAGCTCAAAAAGCAGTAAGGACTTGCTAAATCCTAAAAGTAGCAAAACTGTAGCTGAAAGACAAATTTGACAAAAACTCTAAGCTAAAATTAACTAAACCACAGAAAAAAAAATTAAAATAGCAACAGCCACATCTGGGGAAAAATGTTTTTAATTAATCAACAGGAAATCAAACAGATAAGATGTTCTCTGAAGCTGCTGCTTTGACCATGAAATAACTTATCAAGTGTTAAATCTGTTCACCACGTCCTGCTGCAGATATGAAGAAATCTTGCAGTTTTTTCAAACTCTTCTACCTTGAATATTAACTGGATGTTCAGCAGAAACAAACATCCATGTTGGACTAAATCCTCTAAAGCAGTGGTTCCCAAACTTTTTACCTTCTGACCCACAAAATATTCGTGGCTAAAACTTGTGACCCCAAATATTACTGGTCTGAGTACATGAACTGCTTTAATAACCCTAAAAAGTTTTGACAATCTACACAGCTT